TTCTTGTCTTGTTTAATAAGAAGTCCCTTGCTAAGTGTGCTCACAAGGTCTGCTGCAAATAGTTAAGCCAGCAACCATGCTTCTTGCTTCTGTTACAACACAGTCACCAACGCTTTTCACCTTTACTTTCCTTGTTGCTAGATAAAATAACCATAAATTGTTCTGCCAGATTGTATAAAGCTTTATAGAAATCAGGAGTCTTTTATGTAACACTAAGTCATACATTTTACAGCAAATTTATCAAATGTAATAAAGTACAGTGTTGAAATTTACTAGCCCTTGATGTCTCTAATTCCTATTGATTCTAATAGGAAGCTACTTTCTTTGAGTGAACCAGTAGTTAGCAATGTGCTTTAGAATTTCATGATCTTTTGTTTGTTTGTATTTGCAAAGGCTTTCATGGCCAGGATCTAATGATTGTTGTGGGTTCTTCAGGCTCTTTGGCCATGTTCTGAAGGTTGTTCTTCCTAAAGTTTCACCAGTCTCTGTGGCCGGCATCTTCAGAGGACAGCACTTCAGAGTGTTATTATAGTAATTAAGGCATCGAGTCATTTTAATCTCAATAAAAGTCAAAATGATAAAGAATGGCATTTCATAATGATTAATGGGAGATTTAGAACTCTTGATCTAACATTGATGAATACATACGTTCCCCATTCCATCCAATATTTTTTATTATCACTTTATTAAGGATATTTGCAAAGTTGATGAAAGTGTACTGTAATCATAAGCAGAGGCAATTTATATTAGAAGTAATGTTATAGATCAAGTGAAAGTGTCTTGGCCATTTTCCTTAAACTGCACAATTAACTTTAGAGACAAATATTTGAGTGACTGAGACAGAAAAGAAGATTTTTAGATGTGCCGTATTTTTCCATGTATAAAACAACATTTTTTCTTTAAATAATTAGACAAAAAATTGAGGGTCATTTTATACATGGAAGGCAGCCACTTTCCCTGCCTTTTGCGAAGCCAGGGGGCTTAGCAAAAAGAAAATGGGCAATGCAGCCATGAAAAGGCTTCAGGATCAAAGGGCTGTGATCATGCAGCCTTTACCCAAAGGGAGCCTTCTCTTCCTTTTTGCTAAACTCCATGGCTTCACAAAAGGCAAGGAAAAGCAGCGGTCAAAGGGAACGCTTTGATCCCTGCTTTTCCCTTCCTTTTGCTAAGCTCCATGATTTAGCAAAAGGAAGGGAAAAGCAGGGATCAAAGCGTTCCCTTTGACCGCTGCTTTTCCTTGCCTTTTGTGAAGCCAGTTGTCTTATAAACGGAAAAATACGGTAAGTAATACAGTGAATGATGTATACTCCACAGTTACAGCTAAGTCATAATTTGGAGCATTTGAAGTGTGTGTGTGTGTGTGTGTGTGTGTGTGTGTGTGTGTGTGTGTGTGTGTGTGTGTGTGTGTGTGTGTGTGTGTGTGTGTGTGTGTGTGTGTGTGTGTGTGTGTGTGTGTAAATGTTTAGTAGAGGGACCCTGCATTTCTGAATTTTCAACTACACTGCTGTATACAAAACAACAGAAGTGATAAATTAGTAGCTTAGTTATGGAGCGAAGAAAATATACTGAATAATAATTCTTTTATTAGATAAGAAAATGGAACAAAAAGTGGCAGGAACAGCTGCCTAGAGTGGTTGCAACAACCAGATAGGCAGGACATAAATAGAAGAAATAAATAAAATAAATAAATAGATAAAATTAGTGGTGAGCTACCTAAGTTCTACAATACGTTGTATGAAATAGATTTTCCAGAAGATAAATTGACTGGGAAATTTGGAGAAAATTCAGCTGTTCTGATTATAACAACAGAAGATTAGGAGATAAAAATGCTGAGTTTTCTAGGAATGACATTTTACAACCAGTAACGTCCTGGCCCTGATGATTTTAATACTGAAATTTACCCAGCATTTTTTGAGGAGCTAATCAACTGTTTTGTTTTATTGTTCAACCATTATCCCACCACTTCACAAAATATTTTGTGAGATGGTTAATTTATTGTTAATTTTATAATTTACTACCTGTATTGCATAATAGAAAAAATTATCAAGAAATATGATTGGTGTCCAAAAAAAATCACTGCTCATGAAGTAGTTATTGTGGTAATTTAAAGGCCATAATGTAGGCATAGAGTGAAGTTATTTCATAATGAGACAATATATCAACTTCTTCAGTGTGACTGTCATGTAAGTGAACTGGAACTTACTGCATACACGGCTTCCTTTGCTTGGATCATAAATGTCTATATAATCCTTTTCTCAAAATGCCTGGGCAGAGACAGGGTCAGCAGGCTTGTAGGAACAGCAGTCCTCTTGTCTTTTCTTTGTCAAACTCGATCTGCCAGCTCATTCAGCCTTCTCTTCAAAATCTGCTTCTTCAACAAAGTTTTTTTAAAACTACCTGACCTCATCTTACATGCTTTTCCATAACCAGCTCACTCTCCACTGCTCATTGTAACTATTCAAAGTACCTGCTGTCATCTTTTGTCTAGTGTAGATGATAAGCTCTGTGGGTAGGAGTTATATGCATCATTCTCCCAACCTCTAGTATATTTATTTATTCAGAGTTTCATGCAAACTGCATTCCTTTAAGAGTGATGTATGTACCTTAATGCACTCTCACATAACATGAGTAAATTTACTTGAGTTTCCAGTAAAGAGCTATGTGCCATGGATATGTATCTCAGTTCTCTCTGGTTCATTCTGTTTAACATTGCAGTGTTTTCAGTTAATTCCTTATTTACATTTATTTTGTTTTCCTTCCTGTCTTGTGATACTCAGCCATCCTTTCTGCCCTTGAGGTGGTCTCTAGTAGTGCTTCAAGCACATTCAGAGGGGGTTCATTTTCACCCACAGTTACAGATATAACTGGGCCCTTGTATCTGCAGGGGAATGGGTCTGCAATGTGTTGTAGATGCCTGTAACAGTGGATACCAGGGAATCCTATATACAACAAACGAGAGGTTGGAAAAAAGGCCACAAGGAGGCACTCTTATATTGTTTATATAAGGCTATGGCAAACCACTGATAAGTGAACCATGCATACGGGAGGCCTACTATAAAAGCAGGAAAGCCAGAATCCTGTTGCTTAGTTATGCTGGTATAAACATAGTGATGTAATGATGCAATAGTGAATTGCTGCTAGTTAACAAATAACTATTTGTATTTCTCATTGCATGCCAAGTGCTTGAGGATTCAAGTGACCATTCATCAACTAGGGGCACTTTACTGCTGCAGTTTATACCATTACACTTACACTGACATAATTTACCAATAGGATGCTGATAGAAATGGGTAGTCATGGCAGTAGAACAGCAAGGCTGACTCTACCTCTAAACCTGCTTAATAAAACACCCTAGATATTTTAATGTGGCAATAACAATTCACCTACTGAACATCAAAGAGTTTAAAAGTGCACCTAATTTCAGAAGCATCTAATGAAGTTTTTTTTCCTCTGCACACTGAAGCTAAACTGAAGACAGAAACTTTAAGAATCAGTGAATGATTTCCTTTTTCTAGCTGTTTGGAACACATTACATGAAATGTGAAATATTAAACATGTTGTTTTGGATGCCTAGCAGAAGAAGTGGGAGATGGGTAGCTCTGATTTTCCAGTGCTTTGGAGACTTTCTGGATAGGAACACTTGAGGCTTCTAGCCATGGGCCTGGGTTTTCCTCCAGCTCAGACTTCTCTAACAGGGTCCTGCCATCCTTGCTCCCATTCTAAGGGAAATACTGCTCCAAACAGGGCAAAATATAAATTGCTTGAAGGAGCAGGAGGCTTCCACACATATGATCTTCCATTATATCGTTCGTATATACACTGATGATTAGCCATAGCATTAAAACCACTGACAGGTGAAGTGAATAGCACTGATTATATTGTTGGGCTGAGATATATTAGTCAGTGAGTGAATTGTCAGTTCAGGAAATATGGGCAAATGAAAAGATCTGAATGACTTTGACAAGGGCCAAATAGCTAGACGACTGGGTCAGAGCATCTCCAAAACACCAGTGGTTAATACCTCCTAAAAGTGGTGCCAGGAAGGACAAGTTGTGAACTGGCACCATGGTAGTGGGTGCCCCAGGCTCAGTGATGAATGTGGAGAGCAAAGGTTAGCCTGTCTGGTCCAGTCACACAGAAGAGCTACTTTAGCTCCAATTGCTGAAAGACATAATGTTGGCCACGACAGAAAGGTGTCAGAACACACAGTTGCATCACAGTTTGCTGCATATTGGGCTGCGTAGCTACAGACTGGTCAAAGTGCCCATGATAACCCATGTCCACTATTGCAATGGAGATGTGAGTGTCAGAACTGGATCATGGAGCAATGGGAAAAGGTTGCCTGGTCTGATGAATCATGTTTTCTTTTAAATCAGGTGGATGGTATGTGTGTCATTTGCCTGGGGAAGAGATGGCAGCAGGATGCACTATGGGAAGAAGGCAGGCAGGTGGAGGCAGTGTTCTGCTGGGAAATCTTGGCTCCTGGCATTCATGTAGATGTTACTTTGATACATGCCACCTACCTAGAGATTGTTGCAGACCGTGTATACCCCTTTATAGCAATAGTGTTTCCTGATGGCAGTGGTCTGTTTCAGTAGGGTAATGTACCCTGCCATACTGCAAAAATTGTTCAGGAATGGTTTGAGGAACATGACAAAAAGTTCAAAGTGTTGCCTTGGTCTCCAGATACCCCATATCTCCTTCTGATTTAGCATCCATGGGATGTTCTGGAAAATAAAATCCAATCCAGGGAAGCCCTTACTTGCAGCTTGCAGGACTTAAAAGATCTAGTGCCAATGCCTTTGTGCCAGATACCACAGGGCACATTTATAGGCTTGATGCATCAAAGCTCCTTTGGTAGCACGAGGGGGGGGGATTCTATACAATATTAGGCAGGTAGTTTCAATGTTGTGGCTGTTCAGTTTAATAGCAAGTTGTGCCACCAGTTGTTTAACCATGCATGTCTTCTCAGTGACATTTTCTCTTGTTTTCCATTTCAGCTCCCTAATTTCATCAACACAACTCTTCCTCCACATGAGCAAGTTACAGCACAAGAGATTGACAGCTACTTCCGTCAGGAACTCATCTATAAGAGGAATGAGAGGATGGGGAAAAGAGTCATGGCCCTCTTAAAAGAGAACACAGACAAGAGTTTCTTCTTTGCATTTGGAGCAGGTAAACCCTTTAAGTACATTGCTTTGTTGACTTCCATTTCCACGCAAGAGGAATGCTACATCAGCAGCATTTTATTTCCTGAGATGTCAGGGGCCAAATCTACCGTAATTCAAGGGGTGGGCAGGGGTTAGAAGATGATGGAACTGCTTCTCAACCAGCTGACTGTGGCAATGAGCATAAGGGGAATCTGTTTAAATGTGTCCAGATGTTGGGTAAAACTGGGTTTACCAGGAAATACAGAAATTCAGAGCTAAGGGCGAAAAAAAGCATTTTTGGCAAAATGTGCAATTTCCACACACCCCCACTTGGTGCATGAATGATGCAGAGGTGTAATACACATATAAACACCTTCATGCTGGGCCAGTGAGCTCTGGCACCAGCTGCAAATGAATGGAGATGGATACCTAGGCATTAGAGTCATACGCTGCCTAATAAAATTTCCTCCTCCCCCAGAACCTCTCAACCTGAGATATTTCTCCTCACTTAGAGACCTGGTTGGGGGGGGATGGCAATTTCTGAGACTTTAGCTTGAGATCTGGCAACCGTAACATACGCTCAGAGTTGGTCATAACTCAATTTCCTCCCTCTCCAAGCCAGTCAGATTGTGAAATTCCCTCCCCCAAGTCAATCATTATTCCCAAAGCACTTTCCTTGATAGACCTCTCAGTCTCAAATACTCCATTCCTTTTAAATGTTTTAATGATAAGCACTGTAGTGAGACGAATAGTGGGAGCTCTGTCTGGTGCTACGGCTAACTATGGTGAAAATCTTATTGAGATTTTATTTGGATTTCTTGCAATTTAAGAAGGTAAACTCAGACTCACATGACCTAGAGCACAACATCTTGACTTGAAACAATTCACCAGTGAGATTCATGCCAGTTGAGTTAGGCCAGCAAGCACAACTAGTAAGACATATATCAGCCTTTTGGTTATTGACCCATATATCCAGAACACAAGGCTGGTGACTCTTGGTGGATGTCCTTCTCTCATGCCTTATTGTCATGGGAAGGACATCTATTTCAGATGAAAATTCAGGACCCTATAAGACTTACCTGTTCTGTTGAAGTGAGCATTGCATTTCCATGAATCATGTTTCTTTAGCATTGAAACTGAGGCATTTTCTCTACTGATGGCAAACAACTAGATTTTAAATCATGTAAGTTCCCAGTCTGTTAGCCTGCCATTGTGGAGTTAAGCTGGCAGAGTCTGTGAAACCAGAACTCCATGCTGTGTGGAGCAGTTCCCTTGGGTCTCTCTGGCTGAATCCTTCATCTCTAAATAGAAATCCTTGTGAGTGGGACGTACTCTGCAGGGCTAATGAGTCACTCTGAAGATTTTTAAGGATTTCACTTTATGAGTGAAACGGAGACATTATGGAGGCATTAACGATAAAAAAATAATTCTGTGGAAAGCAAGTATAGACAAGTCTGTCTTATCATATTTAATGTGCAACGCAATATTGTCTTCTAACATGTGACATTGTATGTATATGGTGGGACTTACGCTGATGGATTTGCAATTAATGCTAGACTTCCAACATCATCAACAAGTCCCCTAACCTACCCCCACCATTCCCTGTTTCTACACCACGTCATTCTGTGTCATATAAAAGCTCAATATAATAACTTTGCATCTCATTGTGGCACTTCTACTGATAAACCTTTACTATCACTGCATAACAAAACATGACTGACAACTCCTTTGCTGGCATGATGAACTAAGCATCTGAGTCTTTAAACCTAAAAGTCCTAGAGTTAAATAGACATCTGTAGAAATTAAAGCTGTTACCAGTTGTTGCATCGTTATCCTTCTTTTTTTATAGTTTATATATGCAAAATGTCCAGTAGTACCTTAGGAGGAAAAACATTAGCCAGTATTTATAACAGTGTTTGCTGTATAACAGAAGGCTGCCTGCCTGTGCACTAATTTGCAGCAGACACATGAGGCAAAATCTCATAAAATGCATCCCATTAGCTTGAAGGGGGTTCAGGTTTAAACCTAGGAACACGTCTTTTCCTTAGTTTGTTGCCGAGGAGGGATTTGGAATGCCGTACCAGAACAGGATCCAGAATTTCACAGCTGGCAGCTATGTGTCTATTGAACTGAAGCAAAACGAACAATCTCAAGTTTAGAATATTGACATAAATTTGGATCCAAATCCAGCAATTTAGACCTTCCATTTAAAGAGACCTTAAAATGAACTCTAACCATTATTCATTTCTTGGAGGAAGGGAGTGAGCAGAAGGGAAAAAGTGGGAGAGGGAATATTTTGAAACAACATATGTATTTCATGTGGGAATACACACTAGTCCCCTGTATGTATTCTGGCCTACGTCCAGTGTTAGAGTTTCCAATTTATTATTTGCCTCCCATAGAGCCAACATGTTTCTACAATACGTACAAGCCTACTTCATGCATATCCACTTAAGAGTGTTAGGTTTCTGCGATCTGTTCTGCCCTGGGAGAATGAGATGATCGCAAACACTTGGAGTGATCCTCCCTCCTCCTTCCCAAACTGAAAACAGATGCTGTTTATTGAGCAGCATCATTTCAATAAAGTGTGGAAAAGAAAGTTGTGCAAAAAGTTTATTCTTCTTTGGTCACAGCTAATGTAAGCCATGTTGCAAAGAAAACAAATGGTAATTCTATCATCTCTTTATTGCCAGGGCATGGCATGAAAGACCAAAGTGACCCAGTGGTATGGAACCATGGATTTACCGGTTAAATAGGCCATCCCCTGCTCTACAGTTTCCAGTATTTCATCCTGCAGCCAGTGACATAGCAGGAATGTGATCATGTTAACCATGAGATTATCCTAAAAAATGTAATAACTTGCAGCTGTGAAGATGGCAAGTCAATGAGAAAGACATAAATCTTAATGTGGGTTTCTAGCATATAAATTATTAGATTAAGATTTCATGTAATTTATTGAGTTATTGCATTGAACTACTTTAAACAAGAAAGATGACAAAGGTATTGTATATATGAATACTGGGGAAGAAATGAGCATGGTACAGGGATTTTTGACATGTACGTTTTTCAAGCACAAATTGTGAAAATCCTGCTTCTCATAAAATTTACAAGTTACCTTTCATTTTAACTCTTCTCTTGAGATTCATTCTACAACTGCACCCTGTAAATACAACAATAGCCCTTTTAATATTTTATATGCAGTCTGGACTGAAAGGTGTGGGAGAAAGTTCTAATTATTGCACCTTCATGTTGTTTAAAACCTTCCCATTTGAAGAACAACACCCATGTAGAGAAACAAACCTTTTGCAGAAGTCATACTTGACTGTGCAAAAATATAATGGCTGAAGTCCTATTGTGCCATTTCACATGTGCAATATGAAGCTGTAGCAGTGTTAGGGGAAAGTGCAGTAGGGCAGACATGTTGTTCATAAAACACTTCTGCATGTGTGCCATGCAATAGGAAAAACAGGAGCCATGTAACTGATTTCACAATCTTTTGGTGCAATACAGGTTGCTTGGGCGCATATGGCATGCTTCTGCTGCCATAAATTTATATTCCACCCGAATGCACAGGATTTCAGACATGGATGCAAGCCATCCATGGATACAAGTGCAGGTACCCAGAAACTAATCCCATAATTTGTAGCTTGAAGGAGTCCTACAACCATGGAAGGTATTTCTGGAATGCTAGAACACTATCTGCGAAGGGCTCCATTTTACACACTAAGGTGCCTTTTGTGATACCCCTCAGTGGTTCTGTCTGTATGTTCCTGGTCAGCCACCAGATAAGGCCAAGCTGAACATTAAAAAGACAAAACCATGACTACAAAAGCACTATACAACTTAAATGTTGACAATGAAGGGACCAAAATAGAGATTTTGGATAGCTTGGTTCAGTCTTCAATCCTAATGGAGATAGCAGTCAAGAAGTCAGAAGAGAAATGAGACTTTAAGAGCAGCAATGAAGGGATTTGAAAAGATAATCAAGAATAAGGATTTGTCACTGGAGAACAAGACCAAGATCATCCACACACTTGCATTCCCAGTCGCCACGTATGAGTGTAAAAGCTGGACAGTGAAGAAAGCTGACAGAAAGGGGGGGGGAATGACTTTTTTTGAAATGGTTGCTGAAGGAGAGCTTTGCAGATATCCTGGAATGCCAGAAAGACAAACAAGTGGGTTCTAGAGCAAATCAAGCTTGAAGTGTCTCTTGAGGCAAATATGTCGAAACTGAGGCTGTCCTATTTGGGGCACATCACGAGAAGGCAGAATTCTCTGGAAAAACAATCATGCTGGGAAAGGTGGAAAGCAACAGGAAAAGAGGAAGACCAAATACAAGATGGACTGACTCTCTAAAGGAACCCACAGGCTTGAGTTTACAAGAGCTAAGCAGAACAGATGAGGCCAGGACATCCATAGGGTCATTCATTGGGTTGCTGTAAGTCAGAAGTGACTTGACGGCACATAGCAACAACAACAACAACAACAAGAAAGCCAAGACTCCTATACCATGACTCTCCCCAATCTTTTATTATTGCTAAATCCCTCTGGAATAAATGCCACTGTTTTCAGTCATTTTCTCTCTTAAGTAAGCATGTGATACCACTTGGGGGACAGAGTTGCTAATGTCCATTGTAAAATTATAATCGGCTTGTGGCAGTAGGCTTGCTTGCTTTCTTTTCCTTTCTTTCTCTCTTTTCCTTTCTTGGCAACAGAAATAAAAGAATACTCTTTTTGAACAAATGCTTGTGATTGTGACTACAAGCCTATTTCAGCTTCACCATAATTGTATGAGGGATACTTGAGAAATAAACATTGTCTCTAATGAAAAAGTGTGGTCTGAGGACCTAGAGATGGCTCTCTGTGGAAGAAGAAATGTTATGTGGAAAAGATGCTGTATGCCTGGGCTATCATACATTAATCCCTTTCCTTTCACATAAACAAATCTTTCTCCCTTTTTAAAAGGTTTTCTTTTGTTATAGGCCTGTGAATTGCTGCACTGACATTGTAGCTCCTAAAACCTAT